CTTGCCCAATGCAGTAAGTATCTAGGTTTTCTTGTCAGCTTCTTGCCATGCCTTATCTAAGGCTGCTTTGTCCAGGGCCTCTTCCTGCCTTTTCAAGATGGGATATGTCTCCTTCCTCTCGCGAGGAATGGGATCACTTGGAGTTCCTGCTGATCCAATATAAACAACTTTGTCATATCAAGCAAAATCACCCACTTTTGCTTGCTCATGGATATGTGATCTACGAAATGGCTCCAGTGGAGTTGCAATAAGGGTTTTGCATGGATGCTTTTTCTTTGCCTCTTTGGGCTGCTTGGCCTTCGCAGAAGACTATGGTTAGCCAAACCTAGTAGGTTGGCTTACCCCACTATCATCACTACTCAACTCGTCTGCCCATGGGGCTGCCTTGCAACTCGCAAGTTGCGAGTTGATTCCACTCTACGGGGTGCCTTGCCCATCGGTGCTTTCTCAAGCTACTCCATTACCTTAGCCTGGGCCACTGGGTCTAACTCGTTGGCCAAGTTGATGGACTCAATTCATTGCACCTTTTGGCTACCGCCTATATAAAGGAACCGATGGAACTCAGCCCTGCATTAGCATTTCATCACCCGCTTTTGCTCATACTTATCAGGGCTTATTTGTCTATCCCGCTCCCACCTAAGAGCTGTGTTCTCTACAACATTGATCCTTGCCAGCTTTACGCTCATCAAGCTACTATGCATAAGCAAACCATTCCCAGTTATGGGAATACTGCCAATCTTTCTCTATGCAATGAACTTGCGTCCTTGTTGATACATCCCCAGGCAATAGGGAGGCAAAAGAAGAAAAAGGAAGTTCCAAAGTTTCCTCCCATCACTGGTGAGGGTCATTCAGAACTGGCCTCTTTGGGCTGCTATCACTATAATCCCATAGCTCAGGGATATGCCTAAATGCAAAGGACATTTTCTCTGGCCGATTGGGACCATCCCTGGCGATTTGATCTGCCATGCCTGGGGCATACCACCACTGAATTTTAATCAATTGTGCAATGGTGAGGCGTATGCCAAATCTTTTTGAGGCCAATCTCCAGCCTTCATTAAGGTCAGTGAGCCAATCTGAATAGAATTTTGTCCATGCGGCTTGGTACCTCTGTGGCCTGCTATACTACAATGTGGGGTCTGGCTGGAATTCCAATAGTTGAGCATCCATTTGCGGACTTCATTCTAGCAACACCAGCCTGTGCGGGTTCCATGCTGGGCTCTCAGGCTTGCTTAGACTCGGGTCACACACCCTACGGGCGCTCTCCATCAATGAGTCCCTATTGAGCTACTCTTCATCATTAGGTGTTCTTGCATGCACCTATGATCTAACCTGAGGTCCACGAACCGTGGTCGATGGGCTTGCTTGGATGCCTATCCCAGGCTGCAAGAATTGCTCACCTGGCAAAGGGCTCTTCCTCTTTGCCCCAGTTTGGCCGGCCACCTACCATTCTCCAATTGTTTTTGGAATGCTCGGCAAGGATAATCCTGGCACTATCAAATTGGTTGCCCTCCTGGGCTGCATGGGATCCTTCAAAGCTTGCGAGCGCTTTAGCTCTTCATGTTGCTCATGGGTCTTTGCTTCTCCCTCAAGAGGCGGTCACTTAGAGGGCCCACCTCCTTTGGGGCAGAGGCCCTGGTGGCTTTGGCCTCCTTGCTCTACTCTTTGGCCTTTTTCAAAGCCACTTCATGCTGGCGCGCCTCCTTCTAGGTGGCGATGGTCTCGATCTCCAGCCACACGATCTAGGCTATTGCATCCCGATCATGGGCATCTTGTGCCTTGGCAGCCACAAACGCTGCATTTTTCTCTAAGAGCTCTATTATCCCCAGAGCTTGGAGAAAGTTGCCATGGCACCCGGCTCTGTGGTGCATTGGTGGGGGCCTCTGTAAGGGCTGGGCCTTTAGCACTGTACAATATAACCATAGGAGCTATATATTCGAAGCGAGGAACACTGTATATTAGGGACACCAAAGGGAGCATTGTACAATAGAGTTTTGTTAGGGATATCCGGTCAGGACAGGGCGTTGTGTTGAGTCAACATGGGGTCCATACTAGGGCCAGAGCCGCGGGCGCGGGAGACCTATTAGGGACGGGTACTGAACGGGAAGTTCACACGGGGCAAATAGCTGACTCAACTATGAGACACGGGGACACGAAGAGACGGAAATACGAATTTGAACTAAGCCCAGGACACTCCGGCTATGACCATTCGGCTGCCTTGTTGCCGCCCTTGGGCAACTATATAAACAAACACAAATTGGATCAACTTGTAATCAAAGGTTGCACTGAATTCTCTCCCACTTGCACCACCGACCAGCCCCAACTCGAATGGGGAGACGGGCCATGTCCCGTCTGGCCGAAAAGGGGAACCGCCCCTTACAACCTCCGCCACTTCTTCCATCAATTGTTTTTGCACGTTAGCCTGCGCCTAGCTAGCGGATGGGCCTGCTGCTGCATCCTCCCAGACTGCCCCCTCATCTTTCGTCCTTCCCTCACGGAATGCTTCCATATCACTAGTGTCGGCCGCTGGCGCCCTATCTTGGGTTGCGGATTCAACCACATTCTTGGTCTAGCCCTCACGGGTTGTGGGATTGGTTTCCTCAACCTCCATGAAGGAGGCCGGGGATGGAGTGACTCCATTGGAGTCTTCTTGTTTTGTCCTCGCCTTGCACCTTGGAAGCGTGCGAGTTACCCCCAGGTGGCTTCGAAACTAAATGATACAACAACGTTGGTGGTATGGGGCGCTTGCCCTCTTTAAGCCACGGACCCGCCTTGCTGGGCACTTAGGTCCTTACGGGGACCTAGGCAGGACCACCCTGACCTACCCCCATATCGTGTAATAGTATAAAGTCTGGTTCGGGTAATGTTACTATATCTTGGGCAGAGCGTCCCCCACACCAAGAGACCATTATCAAGCTTTTTTTGGAATGACAAAGCTCCTTGGGCATCCCAGTTCAAGGCAGCACCCATTGCAATCCAATGCGCACAATGATGGGCCACAACGCAGTACAAGTCAATATTTTTTGGTGCGACCTCCATGGTAACTATGGTGCATGCAGTGCTTAAACAAACTCGCCATGCTTGGTCGACAAGCGGTCAAGACTCAAGTCGTATCACAACCAAAACAAGAGCAGCCACAAACCAACCTCGGGTTCTCTTTAGGTACCAGACTACGCATCCTTTTTCGTTCACCAGAACTCACAATCAGAATGGCAGACTGAACTCACACTTCACATACACACAACACGCTACCCCACAGCACCAACCCACGGCACCGATCCACAGCTCCAATTCACAGCACAAGCTCACGGTCACCAAAATTAGTCAAATTGAAGCTAATGTTTGGGTGCCAGTGCCCCTGCCATCTCAAGCAACTGGTCATGTGCTGGCTGACTAGTGCACTCACTGACCTAATTGCGCAACATGGCAGCGGCATCCTTTTGGTGTATCAGAATTTCATTTGTTAAATCTAACCTCCAATTCTATTTTCACTTTTTTCACGGGGTTTCACTGCACATCGACCTCAGTCACGGACCTCCAGTTACATAAACTGGAAAATTGCATCTGAAAAATCAAGAAACAACGGCAACCATTCAAATAAAGTGTCGATGATATAGTGCATTCCCTGAAATGAGATTCTCAGATGCCATCATTTAACTTCAATAATACAATTACGTTCAAGTAATTGAAGGAGCCAGCCTAGTCGTCAATTACCAATAAATCGAATAGGAATTCAATCGCTCTCATTGGAAGCGCAGTGCCATATGCCTAGGAACACTGCGCATGGGATCATGTACCCATGGCGTCAACCCCGGATCTCAGGCTCACACATTCAAAGGCCGCTGCGTATTGTTTCCGAGTGAGTAGTTTAGGACCACGCGGATGTCATCTACATTACTGCACAACGAACGAATGGCGTGGTCAAATTGGTTGTCGACAATTCAAGCCCCCTTCATTTTTTATAGTGGCATTCAGCGGCGGCCAATTTTCAAAACTTCCGTAAATCATGACTAAAGGGGGCCCTGAATTCCAGCCGCAGCTGGGGGGCCTCCAGGACGCTGTCCTTGTCCAGGTCATCTCATTATCGCCCTTCGGGGAAAGGTGGGTTGGTGAACTGTTGGAGGTCATGGCAACATAGCTAAAGTCAAATCAAATCAAATCACGTGTCTCTGGGCTCCACGATAACACCGGGCATACCTTATACAATATCTTTTGAGCAGCTAATGTATTAGTGGTATTTGGCGATCAAGGGTGTGCAATAACTGAGGTGTTCACGGAACAATAATTAGGACAGGCATTCTGAACAAAATAGAAGCAGACGGCAACGTCCTGGCCTTTTATGCAATATACCTTGATTGATGAAAGGGCGTCCTAGGGGCCTAGCGACATATATCTGAGTGGGTTTCTATCCAGAAGGGAGTTCCTCAGCGGAACTACAGCAGCAATTCCCTCTTGATGGTAATCTTTGAGCCGCAGTTGCAGCTGACCCCTGGTGTTGTGGTGTTGGTAATTCCACATTATTCCAGGCCATTCATGCTCTTATCTCATGACGCACTTGTCTACAGAAAAGCACGAAAACTTAGTTGGAATGTGGCATTGTATTGATGAACTATCGTACCTTGTAGCGAGAACTGAAATCTTAGAAATTACGTAAATATCTGCTCTAATAGCGCAGATGCATGTCGTTATGAATACGAATTCAAGAAACACGTGATGGTTTCTGCCGCAGGCGAGTGCCGATTCTGCTGGTATGCAGGCAATGGAGACACCTGACAAGGAGGCAATCTACAGTGTGGAGGCGCAGCTCCGTCGATGGGAGGAGCCTGGGAAAGTCTCCTGGGAAAGGTCCATTGGCGGACAGTGGTGTGCTGGCTTATAGACAGATCCGCGGCATTCGAGCGCCTGACAGTATTCCATGTCAGTTTTGTGGGCGTGGACGTTTTGGTACTTCCCCTGCTGTTGGCGGCGCTGTGCAGGTCCCTGTGGTTGCTGAAATAGGACAGATGCAAGTTTGGCGAGGAAAGCTGGCAAGGGCTGCTGTGCCTCCACAACTTGAAGCGTCTGGAGGTGCAGATGGAAGTGGGCGTGCTGATCTGGCAGTCGATCTTGGCTATGTCAAGTTTGGCTAAGTTGGAGGTCCTGGAAATTTCATTCCCCAACGAACCCACGGGGCCCCGTCACCGCAATGTCACCAAGGGCAGCGCGTCGATCGAGTTTCCGCTGAAGTTGAGGGAACAGAGCCTAAGGAAAATGGGCCGCGTCCAGGTCGCGATTCCCAAGCAGGCTTGCCAAAACTGGCGGGGTTTGGAGGTCCTAAACTCGGTGAAAACGTACGTCCTAAAACGGCCATGCTTGGTAACTCTGCTGAGTAATCTCAGGCAATTGGACCTTTCGCCCATGTCCAAGCCTCCAGGATCTCTGGCACAGTTGGCGAGCCTCACAAGGCTGTCGCTTTGGAAGACGCAGTCCGTCAGCGGTCTGTCAGCGGCGACTGGTATGCACACGTTATCCATTTGCCAGCCGACCACCGATGCGGAGGATTTGGACGCACTGGACGGCCTCTCGGCGTTGGACACTCTGTTCTTGGCGTTCTGCCGCCTTGCTAAGATCCCCTGCGAGGTCACGCGCCTCACGGCGCTCACAAAGTTGATGGTCGTGGGCAATGCGCTGGGCAGCCTGCCACCTGGAGAGTACATTTTGCGGCTTACGCACCTCTATCTGGCGGAGAATCAATTCTCAGAAATCCCGGGTGCGTTGGCGGGCGCCGTTAGATTGGAGGTTTTGAACGTGCAAGACAACAAGGCGCTGCAGATTGGCGGAAGTGATGTGGAGGTGTCGTTGGGGTTGGAGTCCCTGAGGATGGCGGATCTGGGCGGCGAGGAGAAGGAATGGGACCGGGTGTCCGTCAGGAACTTGGTGCGGTTGGCGCTGCAGAAGGGCGAGGGACTGGAGTTGGAGGTTTGAGGTCGGAAGGCGAGATAGTTTCAAACACGGTTGGTGTTGGATGGACTAGTTAAAGGACGAACCAACGCGCTCTTGTGTAAGCGCATCGATGACATGATGATGTGGATGACACGATGATCGCCTAGTGCGACCGCACGAACTGGGAGAGCTTAATAGGTAAGTATGGGATGGGAATAGGCACGGAGTGTGAGCTGGTGTGGCTGGTGGTGGTGGTGTTGATGGTGGTGGGAGGTGCGGAGCTATTGGGACATGGTGCCACTGTTGGCGAGCAACAGTTGGAACCAGGCTTGGTTTTTACGTTTATGTTTACGTTTTTACTTTTACATTTTTATGTGTAAAAACGTAAATTTTGCAAAAAAGCCAATTTTACGGTTATTTTTACGTTTTTACGGCTCCCTGGCACACGTAGGTTACACGATGGAAATTGTGTACAATGACCAGTCCTTGGCCATCTCCAGCACCCGCAACTGGCAAGGGCGACAACGCACTTAAAAAAACTCGTCTGCCTCTTCCAAGGCGTCTGGCTGCCTCTTTGGACTTTGTAATATGTATGTACTGTCCTTATGTACACCAGGCAGTTTTTACGTTGTACTTACGTATTTTTACGCATTTTTACGTGTAAAAGCGTAAAAACTATTTTACACGTAAAACTGCAAATACGATCAATTTTTGTGGCGTAAAAACCAAGCCTGGTTGGAACGGATATTGGACTTGGACCAACAAATACGTAAACTTGAGCCCTGCGGGCGGCTTGCTTTACATGTGGACTGTTTGTGCGCGCTGTCCGACCAGCGACGGAGTTTGGACCGGTTTCAACCATCACCCGTCCGAACGATCCCTCCTATAACTTACCTAACACTGTGCCTGGCATGAGTCCCCATTCACCCCCGTTCAGCATGGCTTCCCGCACTTTGCGGTGTCCACACACATCACCGCTTCGGTCCCCATCCTACATAAACCATCCAGCCCCCACACTTCCCCCATTCCGTTCCCGCGACGCCATGGCGCAGATGGCCGCCCGCGCCGCTGCCCCGCACGCCAAGATCCTGGAGGGCAAGGTCGCCGTGGTCACCGGCGCCAGCCGCGGGGCAGGTGGGTCGCCGCCCCCTCTCCCCCGATCCAATTTCACAACATCCGGTCGCGAAACAACAAAACTTGCCCGAATTGAGGACAGCCCGCCGGGCGATGCTCGATGGACCCCTCGATTGGGGTCCCTCGCACGCTTTGCGCCGGTCGCGGCCGCGGCAAGGCGCAAGGGAGTTATCGGGGGCCATCTGTGCCGCCTGGCAATTGCGACGAGATCCTGTTCGCGTTTGGCTGTCGCCACTGAAGTGTCCAACGAGGCCAGCGCATCCAACTCGCCACGCCTGACAACGAAGCGTATAGCTCCCACCTTGGCCTGCAGCTCGGCGCGATGGCGCGTGGCGTGGCGCCGCCCGCTCCAATTTATTGCGGCTTTGACTTCGCGCTGCGCGGCAACTACTGTGCGAGCACAATCACGCACACGACCCACGCCCAACAGCGCCCTCCGTTCCGTGTTCAAGCGTCACAATCTGGGGATGGCCAGCCCCCCCAAAAGATGCACCTGAGAACAGAAAATGCGCCAGAAAGTGCCCCATGAAGATGCCGCCCATGCGTGATGGTGCGCTTTTGCCGGTGATCGGCCCAGGCCCGCCCCAGCCTCCGTTCCGTGAACGAGCGTCATAAACTGGGGATGGCCATTCCCCAGAAAATGCCCAAAAGACTGCCATAGAAACTTCCCCAGGAAACTCCCCAGAAAGTGCCCCATCAAAATGCCGTCCGTGCGTGATGGCGCGCTTTGCTGGCGATCGGCATGGGCCAATCACAGAAAATCATCAGAAAGTGCCCCAGACCTCCCCACCCCACCCCAAATGCAACAGAAAGTAAACCAGAAAACATCCCAGAAAATGCCATAAAATGCCGTCTGCGCGTGATGGTTCGCTCTGCTGGTGATCACCGCAGGCCGCGGGATCGCCCTGGCGCTGGGCGACGCCGGCGCCACGGTTTACGTAACCGGCCGTAGCGTCCGGGGGGGCCCCGCCGTGGTCGATGCGCCGGGTACCGTGGACGCCACCGCGGAGGACGTGGAGCGGCGCGGGGGCCGGGGAGTGGCGGTTCGTTGCGACCACACGGTGGCGTCGGAGGTGGAGGGGCTGTTCGCGAGGGTGGAGAGGGAGCAGGCAAGGCCCCCGGCGCGTCCTAAGTAGTTCGCCGCTGGATTTTTAGGTCCTAAATGGGGGTAGTGGGGCTGGGTTAGTCGGATATTTTCTCTATTCCAAATATATTCCAAACACCACATCGCACTTCGGGAAAGAGGGCGTGATTTGCAGTTCATTAGCTTGAGTCTTGCTGAAATTGCACTCCCTGGCTTTCTGGGTCAATGCGTCCACCAGCAATCGCCAATCAGCAAGAGACCGTGATGTGTGGCTTGGTGGTCTCAGCCTTATCGTTGAAATTGCTGGGGAGCGAGAGCGCGGTCATTGCACCTGCACTGTGCTGTCGAGACGTCACTTTCAAGTTGTGCGCTGGGAGTACTTGGAATGCGATTGTCTAAAAGGCCATGGGCAAACAATAAAGACCATGTGCAGAAAAATGCCGAGGTTCGCAGTTGTTTGGTGATTTTGACGAGTGGTGGTGCAGGGCCAGGGAAGCGCTAAGTGTGGGATGTTTCCAGTCGCAGTTGTGGGGCACGAGAAGAAACAGCTGTATGGTGCTCTTTGAAGGGAAGTTTCAGCAGTGCATGTGTTTCAGTGCCGAACATTCATGGGCTGCACCAAAAGGAGCAAATTGCTCCACTGAGTTGCCACAGTCCACGTTCTTGGCAGCGTTGTGCTGAAAAAAGCGTCGCCTGGAAGAGCGTCCCTGCCCCCACTCCCGTTTCGCCTCCCATTGCAATCGCGGCTTCTGCCATAGTCGTGCACAGCTCTGCACTACCAGCAAAACTACCAGCAAAAATATGCCTTCGTGCAGTGTTCGCACGAAGTACGCCTTGGCAGTTGGTTACACACAGACACAGTGGGGTATTCCACAGCCATACCTCTTTGTGGATAACATACCTCCTTTCCAATAGAAGCGATAAAACAAGACAACGTCAAGGAAAACAAAGAATAGATAGATCATTTTCGTGCGCCTAATTTTGAAATGCTACGGCAATTTCCACACATGTTGGAGCCAAAGGGAAATGCTGAGCGTCGCCGAACGAAACAGCAGATTGGAACCGGCAATCGACACTCTCCTCATGCAAGACTAATGCGCGAGTTCCTGGGCAGACCGCCGTCCTCTCCATAGCCTGGCACAGCAAATCACGCGATTTCACAAATATCGAGGATAATTCCATTGAAAAGCCAGGACGACATGACGTTCCACTGATCGGTGGCAACTTCCGTCCAACAGGGGCGCCTGGACCTGCTTGTCAACAGCGTGTGGGGCGGCAACGAGATCGACTTTTACTCGGGGGACGACGGCACCGCCCCCTTCTGGCGCCAGCCACCCGGCCACTGGCACGGCATGATGGAGGCCGGCGTGCACGCGTACCTGCTCGCATCCGTGGCGGCCGCCCCCATCATGGTCTCCGCCGGCCGTGGCCTCATCATCAACGTCACCTTCTGGGACCAGGGCAAGTACACGGGCTACTTCTACTACGACCTGGCCAAGGCGGCCATGTGCCGCATGGCCTTCGGCATGGCGGCAGACCTTAAGGAACACGGCGTTTCGGCGCTGGCGCTTTCACCGGGGTTTATGAAGACGGAGCGTGTGGTGGCCGCGCACGATGCTGCAGACTTGGCCGACGCGGAGACGCCCGAGTATTTGGGGCGGGCGGTGGCGCATTTGGCGGCAGACGCGGGGGTGATGGCCAAGTCGGGGAGGACGCTGACTGTGGGGGAGCTGGCGAGGGAGTACGGGTTCACGGACGTGGACGGGCGGCAGCCGCCGCCGTTCAAGGTGCCGGAGGAATTTCCTGGGAGGGAGGCTGGCCAGATTTGAGGGACTTTGCAACGAGGGATTGGCCCTACTGGCAAGCGATTGGGCTTTCTTGTGGGGATCCATTTTGGAAGGAAGGGCGAGAGGGCTTGGAGCGCGGATTGACGTGCGAGGGTGTGAAGGCCTGCAATCTGATGATGGGGATGGGGACAGATGCTTTTTCAGGTGAAAGGCCGTTGGAGGCGAAAGGCTTTTGCCTCCAGCCGCCGTTTGTGAGTGCAACGGGCGTCCGTGCTGCGCCAGGAATCACAGTCACGTTCGAGGTGTCTTTCGGCGCTGTGTTGGCGCTCAAGATCGAGTGCTCTGTTTGTAAACGCGACCAACCAAGTCCGTCGACTGTGGTGGACCGTCTCGCTTGCCTCATTCCGCCCGTGGCAACCCAGAAAATGACGATGCTGTCAGCTTCCCTCCGATCTCGCTCATGGAATGGCCCCGTCCGCGGGCATGCAAACACTCCCGACCGGTGGCTGCCTTGGTGGGTTTGGGCCACAAACAGCTCGTAGGAAATTTCTAACATCGAAAATTGTTGACTATTGATTTTAGGAAAACGATTTTTGCCTTTGCACAAGAGCTTGGAATCTGGAGCCTCCAAGGCATTTAGTTTCGGCCATTCCGAATTCAAAAATGTGCGCATCGTCGCTGCAGCAGAAGAGGACGGCAAGGGAGTGATAGGTGGACGGCAATTGGACGGCAACTCGCTTCATCGATTGAAAACTGTTTCTATCAAATGTTACCCGTTTTCTGCACTTTCGAAGCAGGGCCATATTTTTAAATGGCGCAGATTTGCAGGTTCAACTCTATTTGCAGGATGGCACATTGGCAGGATCAACTCTATTCGCATATCTGACACAACTATCGGGTGCTTGGGAACATCACCACTGGGCGTCAACCATGGGCCTGTTTTGCATCGTTTACAGCAGAGCGTTTACAGAAACTGGCATCTGCTATGGTTCCGCAATTCATGTGAGGGCATGAAGTCAACTTTCCATGTGCTTGACGTCCTTTGGGCAAGTTGGCATCGGTTGCAAATGCAACCTAAGTAACAGCAATGTGCGGAAGATCGCGTCCTTGTCCACGTCCAATTGAAAAACCTGCGCTTGGCTCCAGTCCAAGTATAGTGCCTTGAGAAATTTGCCAAGCAAACATCCATTGAAACAAACTACTAGTCCCCACCAGCTTTTCCCAACAAACGCACACAAAAAGCCAGCGAAATGCGAAATTCGCGCAGTGCAATACACTGGACGGTCAATCATTCTCACCAAACTATTCCTGTCATTTTGAACTCTGCGAAGAACCAATATTCAACATCCCGGTCAGGGTGCGATCCTGACTATCTGGCGCATCGATCTGTTGTCGGCTTTGCATGAATTGGAACTCACAGGTTCGTAGGTTGCTTGTCAGCGAAAATGAGCATATATTTCTACAGTTGTCAAATATCTCTCACTGAAATTATAAAAGCAATACAATGAACGAATTCCTTTTGCGCAACATTTGCTGGTGGCCAGCCTCCTCCAGAACGACGTAACGGTTTTGATTCTGGTCGGAGCAAATGCATTGCAGCGCCAGCAAAACAGCGGGCATGGGCAACATTAGATTGCCGCGCTTGTTATAGCCTCCTTGTTGATTCTGTTTGCACTCCTATGCATGGCTAAATGCAAGCAATTAAATTTCAAATCTTCAAATTTTGAAGTTTCATGGGGTGCAGGGACATTGTGGTCCACTTGCGGTCTAACGTGCTCATTACTGGGTGCGACCCCTTCCAAAGACCTCAAACGTGCTCCCAAGCGAGGTCAACGATGGCCTGAAACAAGGCGCTGAAATTGCAGAGCAACATTAAAGCATTTGATAAAGCTCTGAAAAGAGAAGTGCGCAGCAAAAAGAGCAGCGGTAAAAATTTTTGACGCGGAAGCCTTGAATTCTCTACTGCTCACCCGGGTTCTCTTATGAGAAATTTACAGATTCCGTTGGAAGCACTGGTTGGGGCGTGGTGTGGCTTACTCAAATTGAATTGATAATAAGCATTTTGGAAACTCGACAGACTGTGGAACTGGGACGCGAGGGCATAGTGGTGTGATGTTGACGGCGGCGATGGGGCGCTGGCCAGCGCCAACTCCATGGAGTGGACGGAAATGGCAAGCTGGCCTGGCCGGAAAGAACTGAAAAGTTGCTATGTCGTGTTGCTGTAGTTTTGCCGGTGAGGGACAGCTTTCCCATGATGACGACTGCAATGCTGCTTGACAGTAATTGATGCCCCGCTGCGAATACGATGGCACCAATGAATGCCAAAACGGCGTCGCAGTTGCCATCGCGAATATGGTGCGTCTTTGCTAGTGTTTGATCAATTGCGAGACATTTCCTCATGGTATGTTAAACGCGTGGTGTGTTCTTCTCACTGTAAGCTGCGGTGAAGACAGGCAGAACGGAAGCCAGCACAGCCGTCCACTACTGCTTATTGTGGATGTGTATTAACGGTCCAAAAAAGGCTGTCGATTCTCATATCGTTTTGATTGTGCACGTGTGGTGAAGGGTTTTGCATTATGCTTCCAGACCGAGTGGTACGCGGCTCAGTACTTTACAGTTCTCTCCTGTGCCACTCCTGAAAGGTATACACTTCTTTTCTTAGAAGGTGTTCTTTTTCCTACAAATCGTCAAAACGCTTTTCTCGGCAGATTACCACCCCCGACGACCTCGGTGCCACCACCGTCCGCGTCCTGATGCCCGGCGGCCTCGAGCCCTTGGACCCCAAGGTCCACAGCCAACGAAGCCCCGGGGAAGCTGGTGGGCTCGCCGATGCACAATTCGAAGAGCCCGGCGAATCGCTCGACTCGCAGTCTGCCGTGTCTGAAGTATCGCCAGCCATATCGGACATATCGCTCAGCATATCTACGGGATCGTTTGTCGAGCCCGGAGAATCACTCGGAGCACCGGCTGGTGTGCAGCCAGCAGGGTGCTCGAGGCTCGGAGAGTTTGAAATTGAACTGGCGTCCGCGTGCGCCGACCAGGTAAGGGAACAAATTACTGGGATATAATGCTGGGATATTTTGGGGTATATACTGGGATACTTTGAGCAGCGCACCACCAGGTTATTGCGCACCAACTACGAGTTGGTACGTATTGACTACCCAGTTTGATACTTTCCAAGTATACTTTTCAATCAGTGGATCAAAAAAATGCAATGGTAAATCCCATCTCAAACTGACTGATAGATGAATCGTCATGGATCCCTTGCCAAAAGTCCCATCGCTTCTTTTACCCACGTTGTGCTGAATTCAGTTGTGCACGAGTTCAGTTGTGCACGAATTCACTTGCCCGCGTTGTGCCCGCGTTGTGCCCGCGTTGTGCAGGAACTTGATGGGATCTGTCATATTTTCAGCGGGCCAGGGCGCCTAGATACACGATCGTTCAACACATTGGATTTGGGCACACCGGGCAAACTCTGTGCCTGCATGCCACCATCCAGTTCAGAATCCGAGCCACTCGTAAAGTTCTTGTACTTCCATTCGCAACCGTTGTTTGAATTAAAAGGGACGCCATATCTGGTGATTTTAGAGATCTGCGATTTTGTCTGTCTACGATTTAGACATGTATGATTTCAGGAGAAAAGGCCCAACCTCTGGGGACGTCCCCAGGGATGGCAGGGACGTCCCCATTGGCGCCCTTGAAAGGGAAGGGTGGGGGTGGGCCGTCCCCGAAATCCGTCCCCGACCGGCAGAGCAATTCCGTCCACAGCGTCCCCACAACCCCACGTCACCGGGCGCCCCCAGAATTCTCCACCGGCCTACAGCACGATTCCGTACCCAACGTCCCCACAAACCCAGGTCGCCGGGCGTCCCCATTGGAGCTAGGGGGGAGAGGGGGGAGAAATGCTTGTCCTCGCGTCCCCACATTCCCACGTCCCCGTGGGGGGCCCTTGAGGTCCGTGCCCTCCTGTGGGGATGTGGGGACGCCGGGATGCGGGGATGGGCGTGGGCCCCCCCCCTCCCCCTTAGGAGGCCCTTGAGGCCCCTGCCCTTGTGGGGACGTGGGGACATGGGGACGGGGGGCCAGCGACCTCAAGGCCCCCCCAAGGGGAGGGGGAGGGGGGTGGGGGAACGTCTGTCCCCTCGTCCCCGCATCCCCACGTCCCACAGGGGGCCAGCGGCCTCAAGGCCCCCCCAAGGGGTGGGGGGTTGGGGGGTTGGGGGGGCGGGGCAACGTCCATCCCCACATCCCCGCGCCCCCACGTCCCCACGGTAGTCCAGCAGCCTCAAGGACCTCCCAAGGGGAGGGAAAGGGGGGTTGAACGTCGGTCCCCACGTCCCCACAAGTAGCCAGGGGCCTCAAGGACCCCCAAGTGAGGCTGCTGCCCCCGCAGGGACGTGGGAACGCGCAAACGCTCCTCCTCCGCCACCCGGCGACGAATTTAGGCGACGCCCAGCGACGCGGGATCCTGGGGATGCCAGGGACGTGAGCGCTCTGCCAGGCGGGGACAGAATTCGGGGACGCCTGGTGACGTGCGGTGACGGGGACGCTGGGGACGGAAACCGCCCTCTACGTGGCGACGTCCCCACCACAGGTCGGCGATGTCCCCGCCCCCCATCCCCGGGAAAATCCGGGGACGTCCCCAGAGATTGGGCCTCTAGTGGACTGAGCTCACTCCACATTCTCTCGGCCGCAGGAGACCACCTCCTCTGATGTCACCTTCCGCTACGAGCAGCTTCCCCGCGGCACCCACAACCTCCGCATCGCCGCCCTGGCGGCCAGCCCCAGCACCTTCCTCCTTTCGCCCACATTCGTGGCCACCAACGCCCAGCCCGAGCTGGCGGGCATGGGCGGGGGCGGCCAATTCGATATCTGCGTATATAAATCTACGGATTCGATATCTACGGGCTCGTAATCTACGGATGCAAAGTCTGCGACATCGAAATCGGGGCGTCCCAGGTGCTCTCCGCGGGCCCAGGGGCTCCCCCCAGTAACCAAGAGCTGTCCGAGAGGCTGCAGCGGCCAGTGTCCATGCAACGTGAACTCAGGGACGTGCCTCTGCTTTGATGGGCGGGCGGGAGACGACTGTGAATCCTTCACGGACCCGTGACTGGTGGCCTGTTGGGCTCTGGAGTGTTCCAGAAGTACTTTGGCGGAAATGTGGCTGTTGGCGGCTGTGCAGTTCGGAAGGTCCTGTGCATACTCTGCCGGGATCCTTTCTGGATATCTTCGGCATCCCGTAAGATAAATCGTGGTTCATGAGGAATGCCTGCCCTCGGGAATCTACTTGGCGTTGTGGCTGCCAGGGGCAGTGCAGTTAGCATGGTCTTGTGCTATGTCGCCGGGATATTGCCGGGATTCTGTCATCGATATCTTACGTGATAAATCGGTGTGCTTGAGGATTGTCTGCCCCCTGAAAGTATTCAGGGAGCTGTGGCCGCTGGACGCCGTTCAATGCGGATGGTGCCGTACAGCACCTATGAGATATGCAGATGTGCATATCTCGCCGGGACCTTGCCTTTATTCTGCCGGAATATAATGCGGGAATATGTCATTGATGTCTTATACGATAAATCGGCATGCTGGTCGATTGTCCACCCCCAGAAGTCTAGGCGCAACTGCGGCTGCCAGGTGCTGCGCAGCCCGGCCGATCCTGTGCATCTGCTGCAGAGATCTTGTATCTTGTCGCGATTCTTCTGGAATGTCATGTACATCTTGTCGGGGCCCTCCAGGCATGGCTGCGTGCCGGGGAGTCCAGAGCAGAACCTGCCACCTGTCGATCTGGGATTGTCCCCCCGGGCAGCGACCTCAAGGTCAGATCAATGTTCAGGGCGCACGTGGTGCAGGTCGACGAGCAATGGGCAAAAGCGCTGCCCGTGTTCTCAGCCACCCGACAGGTGGAAAATTGGCCTGGTAAAGATGCTTTTTTTTCTCAAGCTCTTGGTTTTGGCGCCACGTGCCTGGAAAGGTGTTGCCGCTTCAATCGTGGCGAAGATTGTCGAAATTGATGTTTTGGTGAAGCAAGTGCACAGGGGCAGGCTGGGTGGGGGTGGGGGTGGGGGTGGGGGTGGGGGTGGGGGTGGGGGGCGGGGAGGTGGGTGCGTGGGCGGCGGGGCGGGGGGGGGAGGGCGGGGGGGCGGTCCGGGGCGGTGGTGGTTAAGTGGGCCAGCACTTCAGTCATCGGCGGAGAACGAAAAACAAGTGAGAAATTTGACAAGACGCTATCGTTTTTGGACCAGAGTCGGCGCTGATGCTCGGCACATTGCTTTGCTGTATTGCAATGCCCCCGCAAGGGCTAGAGGAGCGCTTCAAGGTCCGTGAAGTGGCCCAATGGCTTGAGCAAGTTGTCCAAATTATGTTCCATTCCACACGATTGACGTGCCAGCCCCACAGAACGCTGTCTGTGATGACATAGACTCACTTTTCATTCGCCGTAACTTGACGTAAGGCTGCTCCTTGCACATGCAAGGCCGTGAGAGAGCCTCTCAGCATTCACACAGCCAGTTCCCCGAATTAGAGCCAAACTGGCTCACCCACAGCCTGCTAGCGCACTGTGCTGGAGACTGGCAGTACTTCAGCAATACATGACGGTATCTGTTCTGCAACAAGTCACATTCCTTTATTTGCACCATTTGCATTCGCCTAAAAATCAACTGGAAGCTGTGTAATCAATCCTATGCTATCACTAGGTCGTGAAAGCGGGAAAAAGATCTTGCACGCTCAAGAAGCTGCCATCCAACTGCATTCATATTCTAATCACATCCCCCCATCCATCAACAGCAAATGGCTATTTGCGCCTGCAGGCTGCCCTCCCCATCGCACTACACAGATCGCCCTGCATGTTATCATTCTGAACCCATTCCTCCACTAATCAATGCCCAACAAATCACGACAAATCTAGCAAAGATCGCCCTCAACGTACCGCTTTCACTGAAAGCCAAATAGCACAGATAGTCCGTCGCAAATTTATTTTACTCCTATCTCTCTTTTATCAGCAACAACTATGTTTTTCCCTCTTTTGGTCACCACTGCAGATTGCACAGATGGAACCCACTAACATTCCAACAGCCCTTGACAGAATGGCAACAACGAATGAAACCAACCAACACCAAAATTCGTTTCAAGCCTCAATGGCACAGAGCACAGAACAAACGCTGACGTGATTGTGGCAACAACCAATCCAAAAGTCCCTGGCCTTGGCCTTGTCCTTGTTCTTGATGATGAGAATTGACACTGATCACCGGCAGAAATCTATTTTCAGCCTGCTGTCTGCCCTCCGCGCAAGGCTGCACAGGTTCTCCGTGGACTCCTGGCTCCAGCGCTTGTCCTTGCTGCCCAACCCCAAGTACCGCAGGCATGCCATGCCCAACACGAACTCCACATCCCCCTCCAAGAACACCAGCTCGGGATTGTCTTCCAGATCCAGCAGTTCCAGCCCAGTGGCATCTCGCAGCACCGTCGGCACATTGACAAACCTGTTGTCGGCCAGCATTACCTGCACCAAATTCTCCACATACGGGCCTGGGGGCAGTGACTCGAGCCGATTCTGGCGCAGATCTAGACGGGTGAGCTTGTTCATTGGCAGCAGGGGCCCGGGCACCCTGGTGAGGCTGTTGAGCTGCAGGCCAAGGCGAACGAGGAGGCCAAGCTCAGGGATGAGCCGCCGCAGTAGGGATTCGATCTGGTCCGTGTCTGCCATCCCGATGCCCGTCAGGTCAAGGTCTTCCAGCCATGTCATCTTGGACACGACCCCCACGGGAAACGACCTGAAGCCATGGCCCTCCAACTCGAGGCATTTCAGGCAGGTCAGTGTGGTCAATGTGTATGGCAGCTTCCAGGGGTCCCTGTGTTCGCTGCCTGCGAGGTTGAGGCTCAAGTACTCCAGCCTGGTGAGCGAGGACACTGCCTCAGGCATGCATCGGACATCCGTGTCCAGCAGCGAAAGCACCCTCATGTCGGACCAGTTGGCAAAGGCTCCTGTCGCAAAAACTGCATCCACTTTGCCACACCTGGTCACACAGGAAGCCAAGCGTTTTCAGGCGAATGTCGGCAACAACACCATGCCACTGGTTGGGTGATTTGTTGAATGGGTTTGAAATGCTTGGTATACACAGGCCACAGCTTCCACAATGCCACACCTATTTGCAACAACTACGTTGAACTCTCATATATCAAACACCCTTGCGGCACATTTGGTTGTTGACAAGCTACATCACCTAGCAATGGCAGCTTCACTGCATGAACACCAGCAGCGTGCACATTCACAAAGAATGGAATGCATTAAGCATGCATGGCACCTAATCTTGGAACCACTACTTTCCTTCCATACATTTCCATATATCACACCTCTCTACACACAGAGCTTCCGTTGTACCAATTTGCAACATCCTTACCAGCAATACCGCCACTGTCAGAGTGCCTCAGCATCTTTCCCCCCTTCCTTTTTGCCTCTTGGTTGTTAACTCACCTGTGAAGTCGCAGCTCCTGCAGCCTCTGGGGGAAGCCGATCGATACAACACCATCAACATTCCGCTCATCAAAATTCCGATATGGGTCAGCCGAAAAATGGACCGTCAATGACCTCAGATTTTTCAGGCCTGACAGCGACGCGATGGTCTCCCAGTCCAGCCTCCCCTCTGAAGCATCGGCTGGCAGTTCAACTTTGAGCACCTACCAAGATGCCAAAGAAAGGACAAATTGGAATACTATATTCCTGCAGTTATAATGGCACCGTAGTATGCTTGAGGCCAAAAGCCGATCAGCACATGTTTGGAGACATGAGCATTTGACTGTCCTCTATTCACTGGAAGGGGCAATCAACATAAGAATAGCACACCCAGTACAACGTTGTGCACATGTCCAGAAGTGTAAAACAATAATGTGAGGTGCAATTGGTCAAGTACTGAATCAGAGACCCATATGAACCAGACAATGTCGGGTGCTGTTTGCAAGTCAAGCACTGCTCCCCAACAAGCCCATGCTCCAACTCGTCACACAATGCATTCGTTTATTTCCGTACCTTCAAAATCTGCAGGCACGGCAGGGCGTCCCACGTGCTGCTGTGGAAGCGGCACCCTTTCAGCTCCAGAGCCAGCAGCGACTTGGCGAGGATGCCCAGCAGCAGGGGCAGCACATGCACACCCACATCTGGTGCTCTGAAGTCTATCCCATGAACACGCAGCTTCTCCATCGATGTTGGTACCCTGGCCAGCCAGCTCACCGCGCGCCGCCAGTCGATCCTCCTGCTGCTACGCTTCATGAGGTCCTTGCTGTCTAGGCAGCACGACTGCCAGACCTTCGAGTCCTTTTGTGCAACTCTGTTCCATGCCTTGCAGACCAGTGGGACAACCGAGAGCCTGGGCATTGCCACAACAATGTCAGGTGCAATTTTTAGCAAATTTGATGTTTTAAGCAACCCTTGCTATAACCCTGAAGTCTAGTTCCCATTAAGGAATACAGGCTTTAGCCTGGCTCAATAGAATATACGTGTATATGTGGCTGTCAGCCTGGGCAGGCTGTGACGATCAACACAGCTTTTGTGTTCTAATACTTCATCATATGCAGCCAAAAGGATCATGCAAACCCAGGCACCTGAAAGCCAATGTGACAACACATTTTGCGGAGTCCAAGATGCACACAGCATGAAATACTTATGGGATAAAGAACCCTGGCTGTGAAACTGAAATTTGGGTAAAGACCCTGACTGAACAGGAGAAGTGCACACATCGATTTCCAACCCTGGAGGCTTCACAATGGTGTTTGGCAAAGTTTTGTCCTGTTCAACATGCGCGCAACCTGTCAGAAAACAAGTGCTTACACTACCCGCACAGAAGAGATGTAGGCAACAGATGAATGTCCGCAACTGTCATGAACGTGTCAGTCAGGCATAACTTCGGTGCACTTCTACTACTGACTGTGCAGCGGCAGAAAAGCTAATCGTCACTTGCCAACCGGTGAGTCAGCATAACCCATTCTGCCATTCGTCTGAGTTCGTCACCACGATCATTGTGGAGGCAGCCATGCTTGGCACACCCACACTTGGACACAGACCATTTTGTTCAGAAGAGAATTCCAACTGCGCTTGGGCTTGGACATCTTGGTTCGGATACACTTGGACAGGCTCAACAGTGCCGACTACATTCACCTATATTAAAGTGTTTGCACTGCATTTGACTAGCTGCATGTCTGAGCCTGATATTACCCAAGAGGTGAATGGGCAACTGTTGGGGCTGTGATAAGTGCACCCAGTGTGGATTTGTGCACATGCTCAAACACTTATTTGTGGCTCCTCAACAGACCCACAGCATTATTGCTTTGCAAGAGCAAAGGCAGACCGTGCGAACATGTTGTTCGTTGCAAAATAGCATTGACACGGATTTCACCCTGTGCAGCACAGTGCACACACCAAAAGGAGGCGGCGTGCACATCAGCGCCTGCTGCAAGAGACGCAGCGTGGAATCTCAACTGCATTACAGAACTAGATATTGATATAGATGACTAGATATATATAATTATACATTCTTTCTCTCCTTCCTGATATTTTCTCTCTGATGGTTAGGACTCCCCCGCATGGATATTGAATGCTGACCAAACACTGATGCCTTCTTCCTATCTTATTGTTGGGACCCTACATCGGCTTCTGCAGGAAAAGGATCCCGTTGTGCCCTACGATTTGCATTGGAGCTCTTTGCTTCGATCAGCATATGATACACTGGAATTGAAATAAATAAATAAATAAGTATCACACTTCCCCAAAAAAAGTTCAAAGAATCGGCAAAAAATGCATACACACAGCTTACCTTTCTGAGAATGGCAACAATCTGAACACCTCTGCAAGGACACCATCTGGAGTGCCCTCAATAGTCGACCCCCACTGCCCACAGTAGTCCATGCTGAGCCACCCTTCATTCACGTTCTTCTACCTGACGACCACAAGAAATGGTTCACACAGACTCCACACAGGATACCTACTGCACCAACTAGCTCCACTGAGAAACAGCCGTTCGTCACTTCATTTTTTCACATTCTACATCGGGTCCCCTGGTACCATAACAGTGGAAGCTATGGAGGCCTTTGGCCAACCTGCACGATGACACATGGTGGCAAGGACCTGTACCTATGCTCCTCTTCTAACAAAAAGGGTGGTGCACCAGGTATCATGGAATCTCCACAGCAAAAATTCCTGTTTCTGCCTCTCCTGCCAGTGCATCTCCGAATGGTATGTACGATGCCTACAAGCTGCAATCTGGCATTTACCTGGATGGGGACAATACCATCCGCCTACAAAAGCTGATACGAAATGGTCTGGGCACCATGCCAAGCTGTAAATATGTGGTGCAAGTGTGAAGCGTGCATGAGAAGAAACATGCTGCAGCAGACACTGCTGAACAGGACCAGTACACCCAGGGACACACGCACACTGGAAAGCAGTATTCTGTTGGTTCCCGAGGTCCTCATGACCGCATCTTCTCACCTACCAACATGAGAAAAAAAATGTCCCCTATGGTATTGGGAGAATGTGAAGCTCATGTTGAGCACTGTGAGGCGCTTCTGTCCACCATCTTCCATAATGCAACAGGAATTTCACAACATCTTGCTCACAAGCAGGTGCCCGAGGCACAGTATATATTCGCCAATGGGACAGGTTTGGATGGAACACAACAAGGCAAGTTTTTTGCTGTGTCATAAGCCGGTATCCAGCCATATGTTAGTATGCAAGAACCAGCACCCTGGAATCAAGAGATTGCAGGACTGAACCAGGAATGCCAGAATGTTGCAACAGGACAGGATATGGCCTCCACCCTGTCCCCACCCCTAGGCCCAAACTCCTCCAATTCTTTCCAAACCACAGTGCCCAAATTTCAATCAATCACAACATGTTGAAGGAAAGAGAGACATGCTGGCCAGCAGCTCCCAGTAAGCTCCCCAGAAACAAACATCACAGAAAGGGTCCACTGTACTTCCCATAGTACATGTGGGCAGCAGCACGATCCCTGCTGGTTGGCACCGGGCTACAACTGTCTACGATGATATATCTGAAGGAGCACTAGCCCCTCACAGCCAACCAAGGAGCAGAGACGCGTCCTGGCAGTGCTGGTACGATTTGCAAGAGCAACGCCCTTTGGGACAGCTCAGGCCCGTGATTTAACAAGCCGCAGCACAGCCACCCCAAGGGGCCAAAACGCAGAGGAAGGACGGGCAGGTCTGCACAGGGTCTGGGTTTTAGGAGGGTTAGGTGTTTGGGGCCTTGGTAGTTCGCCTAGCCAGCCAGAACATTACAGAAAGGGCCTTGCCACACGCAAAAGGCCTCCACGCTCGCGTGTGCCCAGGCGTCACGAGCGCGGCGGCCACCACAGTCGGGCTACTGCTCGGCTATGCCAAGGCAACGGTAGGGGGGGATAAGGCACGTGGGGACAAACTTCGTCCCTCCTCATCTCATGGATTAGCCATCAGGCGCGCGGCAGGTGAATACAGATCTGTTGGCCACAAAATCAGCCGAGTCTGGGGCCCTGCATCACCCGTTTGAGCCCCTCCGTGGCTCCTAACCCACGCGAAGGCGCCACCAGGCGGCGCAGCCCTCCTTGGACACCCTCTTCGACCCTTTCTACCCTTGAAACTCTGCCAGAGCGGCCGGAGCCAGAAGCTACGATTCAGGCCGTGATGCAAGCTATGATTGACGCCGTCCGCGCGCACAACGGATGGGTGGCCCCCCAAGTCGCCCGGGATCAACGAGGGCTCTTCCGGCCTCGCACCGGTACGGGCACAATCGACGATCGGATCAGATGTCGTACACAACCGCCAGGAGGCGACGGACCGATGCGGGCCCCGCTGTGGTTCACACACCTTGTGTAGAACGCGGCCACCGGTGGCACCGTGGGCTCGTGCAGAGGCCTGGAGAGGCGCGGGGAGCGCCCAGTCAGTGGGGTGGCGATTTTGGCGCCCTGGAGCTGTTTTCACTGTCCGCCGGGTGGGTGGGGTTTGGTAATGCCTTGGGTGGTGCGCCATGATCTGTACGGCGTCGAGCGACTGCGACGACAGGACGGGAGTCCTGTCACAGGACTGCGGTGTTGCTGAGGGGGATGGCTGTGTGGGGTGATGGTTGACACGTACCAACATACGGAGGGCATGTAATCAGTCCCTCTGTCTTGTCAGTGAATATCCGTTCCTGTTCCGGACACCCTAAAGACCCTAAAACCACTGACCCTCTGACTCGCGTTGGCCTTGTCGGCGAAAGAAGAAGGGGTCCTCACGGAAAAGACAGAGGGGCTAATGTACTTTACGCATGGAGGGTTGCCTGGCTGCACTGTCATGCAAAACTGATGATGGCGATTATGGCATATAACGCGATGACATGTGCAGACGGCTGCATCCTTCCCTGGTTATGGGTTGGGGCTTGACGGGAATAATGACCTCAAGGAATGGTGGAAATTGGGGGGGGCATGACAGTGACATTGTTACCGCTAGAACTGATTGAGTGTTACCAATAACTGAATGCATGAAAAGATAATGAAGCACTAGGAATTGCATTAAGGGTGTTGATGAACGGACTGAATACAAAGGACAGAACGCCTGTTGTCCTTTTGCCTTGGCTGTAAACCGTTGCCGTGGACTCGAGGGCACAATTCCCGTTCAGGGCCCACCCCTCGATCGTGCTTGCCTTCGTCAACATTACTCTGTACTGGTGGGGAGACGGGAATGATTGCCACAACAGGATTGTCTTGTGTGGCTCAGACCTTGAGTCGGAGGATAAGTCGCGGATCATCTCCAGAGTAGGAACACTGGTCGGACTGTATAATTGCGACCAATGGTTTCAACCATTGCAACGCGCTTACTGCTGACCAACGCACCTACCTACACCTGTCATACATGGTTTTTGGCGATGATAGCAACGCACCAAATTCATGAGTTGTATTCCTGTGGCACCGAACCTGAGTGTCCTTGCCCGGCATGCACATCGATTGAGGCGAGCGCTTCGCGCATGGCCTCGTTTCATCCCTCAGGCACACACCTTTCATCAACTTGTTGTGCAAAACTTCATGATGATGACGAGGAGATGTGTGGACATGATAATGCGTTAGATTGTGGTGACATTGGCGCCAGCTGGGGTCGGTGCTGGAGACAAATTGCTGGTGTGAAGTGCAGCGGTTCACGAGTTAAGCATTCGCAGGCAATCACGAATTTTCCTGGTTGTGTTACTGGGAAGCTCTTGTGAAGGGGGGATGGAGAGAGTGTACAAGAGCGATGATTCCGACCAAAGGGGATGCGGCATCAAGATGCACGCAGCTGGCGATGAGGGTTCGAGTACTGCGCCGTGCTGCTGCCGCACACAAGGCCGTGTTAAGATGGGCTTGTTCTAGAACAAGCCGAAAAAGGGCCAAATAACCCTTTTGCAAACACACATAAAACACATTTCACCATAGTTTTACACGCTGAGAACACAAAAATAACACAAACCCGTGAAATATGTACACGTTTGAACACGTGTTATTTGGCCCTTTTTTTCCTAGTGTCTCTGCTCTCTTGAAAAACGTTGCACCGAGTCTCTGCTGTGTTCAATATCACGCTTGTTCTTAAAGAAACGTGCCGCATGCTGAAGGATTACAAATCCACCCTTGAAAATGTTTTTGATGGCTCTTGACACTCGCTGCATGTAAAATAACAAAATTTTCCAAGTTTTTCGTCCACATACATCACCAGACAATATGTTGCCACAATACTGAGCTTTTTGGCATTACAAAGCAATACATCACATTGCAGCGTCCAGGTACCTCCCCCGTTCTATCGCGAGATATGTGGGTCTTGTGCCACCGAACAAGTGCGGATGTGAAGCTCCCAAGTAAAGTACTGAGGTTGGTCCCTGCTGTCTGTTCTCACAGTGCTCAACATTATTGCAGACACCCAATGCTCCCGAAGGCCAGCATGTCCTGCAGACTGTCCTGGACAGCGAGCTCCACAAGTGAACTGCTGGCGTGCATCTCCATATGAAGATCTTCCTTCACCAGGACATGTGCAGCTATGCATGTGAAGGAATTGCCCTATTGGCTGCCGTTAGAGGCGGGCGTGCATTCACCATGTTCGTAAGTACTGGTGCAAGGATAAATCATCATGCTCGGCTACATAATGTGGCTGTTGGCAGCATGCCAGTTCAACATCACAACTACCGTAGTTTGGCATCGCACTGTTTCTTAAAATTAAGTGGACACTAAGACAGTGAGACACTGCAATGTTGAAAACAGCACAACGCGACACTGCAGCGCTATTGTCAGCCACAGGTGCCACAGGTGAAAGAACGATATCCATGTGATCAGCACCATATCCGTGTGATGCGGATGAAGCTCAGTAGTGCCGATTAAGTACGGCGCTACATATCGGCGAGAGGAAAATGTAAATACGTTCTGTTGCTCCATACGTAACACAAATGGTCCCGGTCAGTTCCCCAGATTTCACGCCGCTGTGCTCAATAGGCCCTCGATATGCAGCTCAGTGTCTGTTATTCCATCTTCCATCCAAACATGGAAAGTTGTTTAAGACAGTGCACAGCTGCCTATCTGCGAGAAGCAGAACACACCTATAAGCTGAGACCCGTCGGAGCAAGGCGCACCTGTGGGACAACTAAGAGCGTCTCCCAAAGGCGTCAGGTACTTGCTTGTTTGCGCGAAGTCTCTGGAGCGTGTCTCTCTTCTGTACGCCAAATGTAGGCGGAGAGTTCCAAGTGCGAGCGACCCGAATCGCACAGAGGATTGGGGTGAGAGTTCAGACCTGATCGCTGCGACTCTCTTGAGCGACCTCGCCGCTCGCTTGACAGTCTGGAGACGCATTCCTCACTCACATTTGACGAGTTATATAAAGTGTAACATTCTATATCATATATCGTATATTATACAGAGTCTC